AATGGTCTTAAACTTAAAACTAAATAGAAAATTAAACTAAACTAATCTTCCTCGTCACCCTTGTAGAGGGCGATCCGATCCGCCCGCGTCATCCAACTGGCCATCAGGTCCGGCCTGTGCCGTCGTCGCCACAGTCGGGGAAGAGGCGCCGCCATTCTTCAACATCGAAGTCCTCTATGTTGTTGTCTCCGCCGTGCGCCTCGTCATCGAAGACGACGATGACCTCCCCACCGACCGGGCGCATCGCGAAGTCCTCCCGCTCTGCATCCATGAGCTCAGAGTATTGGCGGCGGAGGTCTGCCATGTACTCCTCGTCGGCGGCCTCCGCTCACAATGCTTTCCCTCACCTCGCTAGCCACCGCCACCCTCACCACCCCCGGCGGTGGCGGGACGAGCTCGATGGGCGCCGTCCCAAACGGGAAGTTGAGGTGCGCCGTCACACCGTGCAGCCGGTCATGCCACCAGACGTACTCGAGGGTGGTGAGTTCGACCGTGTAGAAGGATCCGAGCCGATGGCGCTTGTAGGTGTCGCGGTCCGTGATCTCCGTCCCCATGTCCCCCACGCCCACTGCCGGACGCCAAGGTACTTCCTCTGTGGCTGTCACGACGCGGGGAGTTTAGGGAAGCCGGCGAGGCGACGGCGACGGTTTGAGGAGGAGGCGCCGCTTGAGGACGCAAGCCTCTTGTTGTGGCGTGGATCCGCGCCGCGGATCGGCGGCGCGGTGCGACGACAAGAAGGTCCAACCATTGGGAGGAGGTGGGCGGCAAGGAGTGGCGTGGGAAGGGGGTGCCTGCAGCGGGGATAAGGGAGAAGGAGAAGCAGAGGAGGCCGAGAGACGAGTAGAGATCTTTTACTCTGCCGGCGAGCGATAAAGTAAATATAGACTAAAGATAAATGATGAAGGATAAATTATCCTTCTCTAACGATTATCGGGGTTCGGCTATAACCTAATTAAAGAAGTAAACCCAGGTTTTTAATTCTCTAACCGGTTATATGATATCAATTAGAGCCGGCCAGAGGAAGTATAGCTAGCTAGTGCTCTTTGTCTCGAGGATCGACACACGGTAGTTCAACCACTTTTATTTCTTTAGAGCAACTTCAATGGGATGATTTATTTTTTCTGTTTGGGTCATCCGGACACAAAAGTTGGCGCAACAGAGCGATTTAAACGGACACAGCGTCCGTTCGCTGTCCGTTTCGTGTCCGCTCAGACCCATTTTCATCCTAAATTTAAGATATATTTGGGTTCGCGGTGGACACAAAGTGAACGCTTTCTGTGACCTCCTCGTCCGCCTCCGCCCGCTGTATGCGAGCAATGGCCCATCTGTCAGCCACCCACCCATCCGTCCGCCTACTGCAGCCTCGGCGAGCTGCTGCGGGCGGAGCTCGGGCACGAGTGGCACGGGGCCGGAGCTGCGGGGAGGGGCACGCAGTGCGAGTGGCGTGCGGTGCGCGGCCGGGGCGAGAGCTGCTGCAAAGCCGGCGAGGCGCATGCGACGGGGCGCGGGCGCGGCGGTGCGGGAGCTGCGGGGCGGGGCGCGGGGCGAGGCTGCATGACTGTTGGTTGGAAGCTCGTCGGATGCAGGTCAGATACTCGTCGGATGCTAGTCAGACAATCATTGGATGCTTGCATCAAGTTGTGCACGGAGCCTCTTGGCATGAAACTGCTCGTGCTTTGCGTGTGATGTCTACGCGGAGGGCGGCTGCTTGCATGCATGTGCTGGTGCGAGCGCGCGACCGGAGCACGGGCGTCGGCGGAGGCGACCTCGCGGGGGCGTGACCGAGTTACAGGATGGGTACGGCGAGCTGCGGGGCGGGGGTGGGGCGCGCGCGATGGGCCCGGCGAGCTGCGGACGGGAGCTCGCGGGCGAGGCGACGGAGGTGAGCTCGCGGGTGCAGGGTGAGGTCGCGCGGGAGCTCGCCCACTAGATGTTTGACTGAATGCCGACGCGAATATGCACAAAATGGGTCTGGCTTTCGTTGGGTGCACCGACCGAATCAAACGAAAAAACGAATAAGGACAGGCGGACGGGCGACTTAAACGAAAAAAAACAGACAAAATCAGCCTCCTTTAGGTCGTCTCATTGGAGATTGGAGTTGCTTTTAGGCCTTCCACTATATAGTCGATTCCTAGTCCATTAAAATATAGCTGGCTAGGCAGCGATGCCCTGAAAACATTATCTGGTACCGGTCTCACAATGTGTGTTCACAGCCTTGAAAAAAGCGGGACCCAAGAGGCCAATAAAAATACTCAACCAGCCATCAACTACTTGCTTTACGTGAGTGTTTTTAGCCTGGGAGCTAATTGTTTACTGCTTTGTGGATTTGGCATCGAAACAGCTACTTGCTCCAGTTCCAGAGTCTTTTTTATGTCACCGGCTGGACAATGGAGGGCACCAATGCCAAATGAAGCAAAAGTGTATTTGGCATCACTTTTAGCCTACATAGTGGAGGCCCTTATATGCCAAGCCAGACGTCGTGCGTCTCGCAGTAAAAGCGGCACGAAACTAAAGCCAAGAGAGTTGCTACGTGAAGCGTACTAGATGTCCAGATCATAGTAGATTTGACTGCTACCGCCATAACTACTACGTACTGGATTCTCGGATACTCACAATACAATACAAGGATCAGTACCATGTGCAGTTCATGGTTCTGACTGCTACTGCTGGCCATCAGTACACGACGGAGAACGTACACACTTAGCTGTCGATGCTTCCAGAAACTGCATCCGATGTCGACCAAAGTCGGGATGCAGTTTTTGCCACGCCATGCAAGCTGTGTCTAATACTGACACTCGGCTAATCAATGCAACTCTGTATTACTGTAGTGACCACCGGTCCAAACATATGTGTACACATGTGTTCTTCCAGTTAGTTAGTTCCCTTTATCGTTGCGGGACAGAGATTAGCCAGACAGATATATCACTACGTACACGAGCGACACTTATTTTGGGACATAACATCAGTTATCATCACTGCCGTCAGCGCATGACAGTATTAGACAGTGACGCTCTCTCAAGTCTCAACCCATCTGCTCGTATATATTGCGGCAGCAACGTTGTATCCACCAATAGATTGATGAGGCTGCATCACATCCTTGAGGTGATGAGCATATCGCATCGCGGCAACGTCGGCGCGAGCTACTGAAGCTTCGGTTCATTGGAGGTTGGCTGTTCAAAATGCCTGTGTGCTTGGATCAATTGGGCCGTGTTTAGTTGTCCCCATCGAGCCTAATCAGGCCCGCGCGAGAAGAAAAAGACCTGTTTGGTTGTCTGGTTTTATTGTTAGGTCTGTATCGCACGCTTCTTAAAGCAGCCCACAGCCTGCCTCGATGGAAACACTCAATTCCACAGTTTGTTGCAAGCCAGGCTGAGTCGAGCGCAAGCGAGCGGGTCCTTGCAGAGTGGAGACTAGAGGAGGGATGCCAGGTGATTACCTGAGGTTCTTCAACCTCCGCTAAGCTCCTATTTAACCTCCTCCCTCTGATCTAGACAACGGTGCTTCGATTCGAGGTAAACTCTACACGAAAAAGATGCACCTCGATGCTACGGTTTCATTCAGGTGATCGGTTCGTAATTTCGTCGACCGTAAGTTCTTAATTTTGTCTTCCTGTTTGGAGCTATTTTGGTCGGATTTTGTCAGATTCGTCGCGCACGATCAATCATTTGAAATTTCCTTTGACCAGCAGCCTAATCTCGCAGTTCCTCACAACATTTGTGTTGTAAATTTTTGGTTTCGACGATCGTAGCTCCATCTCTCTTTGAACTACTGACGCCGCCATATCGAGCTCCCATGTCCTCTGCTCAGAGCCCTCATATTCGTCCCTCTCGACGCCGAAGCCCTTCCCCTTGATCTCTTTGCCCACATCCTACTACACTAGAGTCGTTTTCATCGTCGCTCATCTCGGCTTACTCTCTATCGTCCTCCTACTGCACTGACGCTGCAATGATGCGCGCACTGCTTTCTTGTGTTGTCTGTCTCCGTGCACACTGCAGTTTGCCGCACTGCCGACGGGGTCGATCATCTTGGCCTCCTCTTTCTCGCCCTACTACACTGGAGTCGTTTCGAGCGTCGACCATCTCGGCCTCCTCTCTCGTCCACTGCATTGACGATACCATGGTGCGAGCACTGCATTCTCCTCCTTTATCGACTGGTTTTGCACGAGCACCGTAACTAGTTTGCCGACGGTGTCGCTCGTCGTGCCGCCGACGGGGTCGCTCGTCCACGACTCCATGCTCGTCATGTCGGACACGGCGCTACGGCCACTATCCACCGTAGTCGCCATGGTCCGGCGCATACTGCATTTCTTTTTCCCTTTCCTCTGCTAGCTGTTAACCCCGTGTGCTAAGTGCAAGTGCTAGCTCTTTATCATACCCATGCGGGCAACCAAACAGCGTGTTGTATGCGCCGAGACAATGCATGCATCCAAATAACCTGTCAAAATTGATCCCCTAATGCAAGAAGTCCATATGCAGGTAACCAAGCAACTTACAGATATTGCATATGAGACTATTTTTTCAAAATTAGGCTGAATTGAGATGTGTATACAATGCAGCTACTGTTCACTGCTGCAACCAAACACGCCTTGCTGATTTATGGTCGATTCCAGAAGCCTGCAGCAGCAGGCAGGAAGACGCCAGGTTTAAAACCCTGTGCTTCACCTGCTGGCTGCCGCTTAGATCCATGTTATTGTTATCTCGACCTGGACGGATGGTGCCTCCGGGGAACACCGGAGTTACTTTTGTTAACTTAGCTGTATATGCCTGCTGCCTGCCAGATCGCTAGTAATGGTGGAGTGCTTCTCTGTCTCTTCTCCTGTCGACTGAGCCCGGCCCCGGCCCATCCTGTAAAAACCAGAGCATGTGACTGCGCACAGTGATGCAGCTAGCTAGCAATCCTCATCCATTAAACCTACAGATCGAGCTGATCACTTCATAAGCGCAGTGATCGAGTAGCTAGCGAGCTCACCATTCTTGAAACCACTCACCAGTTCAGTGGCCATGGGCGATAGCGGTACCAATGGCAGCCACTCTGTGGCCGCTCTGCCGACAAGCCCGCTGCTCCCGATACGCACGCCAAGAAAGGCACCGGCGGACGATCCCACGGCGGATGGGGAGCCCGTCACCCCTACTGCGAGGCTCATGGAACCCATATACATCGTCGTCACCCTCGGCCTTGGCTGCCCCGTAAACCTCCCCGTCTTCAGCGCCGGTATCGCCGCCCAGCTCGCCCGATACCCGCGCTTCTGCAGCATTCAGGTATATATACGCTCTTAGTACTACCTAGAATCTTACGTATATCGCTATCGGCGAAGGTAGGTGATACTGATACTAGTTTTGGTCATTTGTGTCAGGTGACAGACGAGGCCAATGGTGGCAACCCGCGGTGGGTGCGCACGGTGGTGAACGTGGACGACCACACCATCATCCCGACACTGGACCCTGTCGCCGTGGCGGCCGACCCGGACCGGGCCGTGGAAGACTACCTGGCCTCGCTGCCCGCGCTCCCCATGGACCGCTCCCGGCCGCTATGGGAGTTTCACTTCCTCGACTTCCCGACCTCCGAGGCCACCTCCACCGCCGTCATCCGCGTGCACCACTCCCTCGGCGACGGCACGACGCTCATCGCGCTCCTCCTGGCGTCCGCGCGTAGCGCTGCCGACCCGACGCGCCTGCCGGCCATGCCGGAGCAGCCGGCGCGCACGGGCGCCATCTACGCGCCGCGGCCACGGTCCAAGGGGGGTGTCCTGGCGTTCCTCGCGTGGGCCTGGTCGTATCTTGTGCTCGCGTGGAACACCATGGTGGACGTCACCCTCTTCGCCGCGACCATTGCGTTCCTGAGAGACCCGCACACGCCGTTCAAGTACGTGGACCACGGCGCCGCGTCCAGCTCCCGCCGGCGCTTCGTGCACCGGAGACTTCCTTTGGAGGACGTCAAGTTCATCAAGAATGCCATGAACTGCGTAAGTATATCTAGCTACCATTTCGATCATGCCACTCTTGTAGAATCCTCATCTGTGATGTGATTCTCTGTGTATTCATCTGCATCCTTGGAGCCAGGTAAAAATGGTCATACAAGTTAACCCTTCGATCTAGGTACTACGTGCAGCCCACGTGAAGAGTCATTAATGTGTATCTGTATTTCTCTTTTGTTTCCGGAGACTGTCAATGACGTGCTAGTCGGAGCGACTTCTGCTGCTCTATCAAGATATTTTTTTCGCAAATCTGGTAAGTGATGTTTGGCAACAAAACAAAAGTATGTTATAACTTCTCCTGCTGGACCCCTCCGTCATAAATTACTTGTCACAGACATGAATTTATCTGGACATGTTTTTAGTTCTAAATATATTCATTTCCGCGACAAATATATCGGAATGAAGAGTACTTATCTTTGAACTATACACGCCTGTGAACTTACCTTAAATTTATGATAGGTGCCAATAACACCAGCAAAATATGTCTGCGGTCTATCCTCCTTGTCGATACAAGACCACCCACTAGCCTACAAGTAAGCTTCTTCACGAAAATGTGTACAAATTTTTTTTGAAGTGGATGCCATTAGTTTTAAAATTTATTCATATATCTATCGCCAGAATACATATCTTTACTTTTCATACAAATATACATGTTTATTAAAATAATAGAAATCATTGTATGTATGAATATGTTTCTTGACAACCTAATGAGTTCACCCAACCAACCTAAATAATTTCAATGTAGATTACTCCCTCCGTCCGAAAAAGTTTGTCCCTCAAATGACTGTGTCTAGCACCAAATTAGTGCTATGCTAGATACATCCATTTAAGAAAAAAAGTTAACACAAGATTTTCCGGACGGAGGGAGTACCAGTCAATATTGAAGTGGTCAGTTTGATTACACATTTGTTGGGACATAATTTATTTCCAGACAGAGGTTTACATAATCTCATTACCAATTGTAGCATGCCATTAAGGCCTAATGTTTTCTTATAACTGTGTACAGACATATGTTGATATGATCGACTCTGGTAAGAGCAACGATGTGGACTGGGGAAATCAACTAGGCTATATCCTCCTTCCATTTCATTTGGCGATGCACGATGATCCACTTGCATATGTCCGCAAGGCAAAGAAGACCGTGGATAGGAAAAAGAGCTCGCTTGAAGTTATCTTCACGTGTAAGATGGGCGAATCGTTTCTCAAAATGTTTGGTCTGAAGGTATATTGCTGCCACTTTGTACTTGTTTATTTTGTTCTCCTTCTACAATTAACTTTCACATACTTAAGCAACACCTTGTTTAACAAACTAACACTGATAATCCAAGCAGGCTGGTGCTTTTATCTTTGGTCGTATGTTTGCAAATACAACTCTTGCGTTCTCAAACCTGGTTGGACCAAGTGAACAAATAGAGTTTTATGGGCACCCTGTTGTCTTCATTGCGCCTAGTGTTTATGGAGCTCCGCAAGTAAGTCACTCATGATCTTGCATCAAAACCTTCAACCTTAATCCACCTTTGTACCCTTTTTCAACCTAATCATCTATCGGGTAAAATGCGCGGACACTAGTCCTCATGCACCACTTGATCACAAAACCACTCTAATTCTTTCTGAATTATCAAAACAACTCTGCTAAGTTATGTACTCTAGGTTATTGGAGCAAAAAGGAAAGAATATGATCCAAAACATCAAAAAACCACATGTGCATGCTTAATTTACCACTTCGTCATATAGTGCCTCCAAAATGATGGATGCACATGGGAGTAACTACAATATATATAATTGCAAGGAACAAATTTGAGTTAAAGAGTACTCAAACAAGGAGAGTTGTAATCTGATGCCTCTCGCCAATAGTGTTTATGAAATAATAATGGTAGGTAGTATTTTCATAGATGCATTTCATCTTCCTTTTTTTTTTTTGCTATGTGTGAACTTGAACCCAGGGCCAACAATAGGTAGAGGCATTTTAAGTTACATCTATCTTGATATTCTGTCAGTAAATGGCCGCCTAATTAAGGATATGCCTTGACCTTCAGTGGGAATACACGAGCACACCCTACCAACAAGCTAACCTCAGTTCTTTGTAGTAACACTACATGTAAAACTTCATTACACGAGCACATCCTACCAACCAAGCTAGGTTCAATTTTTTTGTAACTACACATGTAAAACTTCATCATGAAAAATAACATGAACAGAAGTAAACCTATAAAATTATAATCATTTTCTCACCCAATTTTGTATTTAATCAAAAAGACTTGTTTTGCAGGCTCTGCTTGTGCAATGTCAGAGTTACAATAGCACTATTATGGTAAGTTTGTCGGTCGACGAGGAAATAATTCCAGATTATATTCAACTTATGGATGACTTTGTTGAGTCTTTTGGGCACATTAAGGATGGGGCTTCAAGACTTTCAACGTCCGTCAAGCAAGAATAATCAATGTGCAGTTATATTAGTGTGCTTCTTAAAATTGTATGACGACAGCAATATGCTCCTATGTATTTGTTGTGTGTATCACGAGTTGCAACATAGTAATTAAGAACCAGAACATGCACCAAACTAAGGTTACAAGTCAAATGTACTAAGTATAGTAATATATAGGATAATGATGCACCAACAGGGATAATATTATACTCATCTTATATCTTGATTTTGTTTGTTTAACTTTGGATTTTTTTTTGTTTTAATGCCAGAATGAATTTTGACCAACCCCCATTCTCTGATCACACCATAGTTTTTTTTCAACTAAGAAAACATACTAACTCCATCCCATATACATCCGTATGGGACGGAGGGAGTAGAGTTTTCGGTAAACAATATAGATTTTCCCCGAAAAAAATATAGATTTTTCGGAGACAAAATAAATAACATAGATATGAGAAGGAGAAACATTGATTATTTTTTAGAAAAGAAAGAGAAAGTTGATGTGATCAACACTTTAAACTTTCTTGGGCCCCAAGCCTTGTTCGGAGTTTCACGGCCCATCACAGAACCGAGGCCTATTTCATTCCCCTCTCGTTCCTCAAAAAAAGAATTCATCCTTCTCAGTCTCGAATGCGAGGACTCGCCGGTCGCCGCCGCCTATGGAGAATGAAGACAGTCAAATCGATCTCTCGTCGCTCATCATCGACGAGGACGACGACATCGAGAACACCACGGAGGAGGAGGATGACGATGACGATGCCTCCAAAGACGAGGAGGAGGATGCCGACGACCTCGACCGACCTATCCACCTCGACGATCTGAGCTTGCTTCCCGAGTCGGTCCTCCTCGACGTCCGGGGACGTCGACATCCGCACCAACGCCACGACCATCTACGCATGCCGCTCTACAGGCTTGGATCCAGCTAGGTCATGCGCTTGGATCCGGCTAGCCTGCTCCCTCCTCATGCTCCCATCCATGCTCCCACTTCATCCTACGGCTATTTTTTTTCCTTTTTCCTTCCTAATCTAACCACCCCCTTTGATTTTAACGGGGTGGGCCCGGGCCTTATTTTGTTCCAATCAAATCAAGCCACGTACACGGGAGCACGGATGGGCGCACGCGCGGGGCGCAGGCAAGTCTCATCCCATGGGCTTAACTGAACGATTGGTTAGGAACGAGAGTAGTAATTAGCGATTTTACCGGACGTACAGTTACCAACAAATCACGTTACTAAGGGCATCTTCAACGGCAACCCACAACTTTCCTCCTGTATCCGTCCAACCGTAACCGCATACATTTCAACCCATATTTAAGCAAACCGGACGAAATTCATGCGAACCGGCCGATATTCATAAAGTTCGGATAGAAAATAGCACAAATCATCCATACATAGCATGTAAATTAAGTCTAGTACAACAATGTCTCAAATTCGACTAGATCATGGATGTCCAACAAGTTTTTAATCAACGGATCATGTCACTCCACACATACTCCCCCTTCAGCTTCATCCAACAGTGTATGCACGTAAATGGCCATCCTCATGTCTTGTGGTACACCACGGCAGCGTGCAGACTACATATAATGTATAAACCAACATTAAGTTAATGAATCAATCAACAAGTTGAGCAAGAGGAAGCAAAACTTACGATCTCGTCCTCTGCCGCGTGCAATGCCTATTTTGCCTCGAGCTGACAAACCATGTCGCAAAACTTGGTGACGCTGATCTGGATAGTGTGCCGGCGATACGATAATGACCTCATGTCGCGTGGTTGAATTATGCACATGTTGTAGGGTGTAATGTGCTTTTGTGTGTGAAATGTTTTGTGCACTTGCTGCCAGAAGGCCTCCCATTTTCTCCTGCCCATGAAATCAGCGGGTACGGCCAACCACACATTGCACAACAACTCATCCTCCATGGTCGAGTAGCTCACCATCCTTCGTACTCTAAAAGATGACATATCATTTGAAAATAAGATCAATATCATTTGACCGAACACCTGTTGGGCGTGGTGTCCGCCATGGAGGTCATCGACAGAGGGCGGAGTGTACCTGGGTACAAATGGCTCCAGGATGGACAACTCCGTCATGAAGGCGAGCGGGAGCATCGGTGCTGGTTGCGAAAATCCGACAATGCCTCCATGGCAGCCGGAGAGATACAACGGCAGAGGTGGAGATGGAGGGTGCGGATGCAAAAAAGGGGGTGTCGGTGTCAAAATCGGCGGATCTCGGGTAGGGGGTCCCAAACTGTGCGTCTAAGGTTGATGGTAACAGGAGGCAGGGGACACGATGTTTCGGGCCCTCTTGATGGAGGTAATACCCTACGTCCAGCTTGATTGATATTGATGAATATGAGGACTACAAGAGTTGATCTACCACGCGATCGTAACGGCTAAAACCCTAGACGTCTAGTATGTATGATTATGATTGCCTCTACGGACTAAACCCTTCGATTTATATAGAAACCGGAGGGGACTAGGGTTGTACAAAGTCAGTTATAGAGAAAGGAATCTTCATATCTGAATGCCAGGCTTGCCATCCACGCCAAGGAGAGTCCCATCCGGACACGGGAGAGAGTCTTCTGTCTTGTATCTTCATAGCCCATTAGTCCGGCCCATGTCACACAGGCCAGACGCTCAAGGACCCCTTAATCCAGGACTCCCTATGTAGCCCCTGAACCAGGCTTCAATGACGATGTGTCCGGCGCGTAGATTGTCTTCGGCATTGCAAGGCGGGTTCCTCCTCCGAATACTTCCAAAGCATCCACAGAAAACATGTCCGGCTATGCAAAACAAATACCACACACAACCATAGTGAGTATAATATTTCACGAGTCCAATCTGCTGACCACTTCTGTAGCGTGACATCATGTCCCTGCCCGGTCATTACTTCGAACCGTTTTTTCTTTAGCCTCCCGCTCCATGTTTCAAGATGCGGTTTTATTGACACGTCTTGTCGAAGTAGAGATCATGTCCCCTTATTGCGGGATTCTCATCAATACAGGCGTGGGTAACTCAACCGTTCCGTTGGTATGATCCCTTGGGAATAGGCAGGCTTTAAGGCCTATGAGGAGGCGCTTGATATTCATCGCCTTTATAAAGGGGCACAGACCCGTCTTTCTCCTCTACGCCTACCTCTTCTTCAACCTTTCCAACCTCGAATCCCAGCACCCAGGTTTCAACTTAATTGCTCCGAGCCTCCCAGTCATGTCCGGACCTAGCCTTCAAGGCCGGTGGGTGGACAGAGGAGGATATCGCGAAGCTCCGGGTGGCAAGATACCTGACCGCGGAAATCCCCCACAGGCTCCCTGCTAAAGGACATGTTATTCCTACTCCCAGATCCGGCGAGAGGGTTGTATTCATCTCCCACTTCCTCCTGGGGCTAGGGTTCGCTCTCCATCCCTTTGTTCGCGGACTCATGTTCTATTATGGGCTAGATTTCCGCGATCTAGCTCCGGACTCGTTTCTTCACATCTCGGCGTTCATTGTCATGTGCGAGGCCTTTCTCCGCATTCCCCCACACTTTGGCTTATGGCTCAAGACCTTTAATGTGAAGCTGAAGGTAATCAAGGGGAATCAAGTAGAGTGTGGTGGTGCTATGGTGAACAAGCTCACCAATACTCTTTGGCCAAAAGGCTCCTTCACAGAAACTTCCAACCTATGGCAGCGGGAGTGGTTTTACATCATTGAACCCTCGTGGTACCAAGTGGGCAGCTACACCTGCGTTCCGATCTGACCCTCCATTACGGCTCGCATCATGGATTAATAAGGGGATGGACTCGGGATCAATCAACAAAGTGCAGATGCTACAAAGACGCATCCGGAACCTCCTCGAAAAGGACACCGGCCTCATCAATGTAATCCAGGTAATGCTAGTCCGCCGGGTCCTGCCGTGCCAGCGACGGCCTCTCCGCATGTGGGAGTTCAATCCAGAAGGACCACGGACCCTTCAATACTTCTTCGGCATGACGCACAGAGGAATGTGGAAGTTATTCTTCGGGACACGAAAACAGTGGCCGGATACCACCGAAGACATCAGCCTCGACTGCAACCATCCGGATACCTCGGTAAGCACTCGACTTCTGAACACAGCTTAGTTAAATATCCCATAATACTGAGAAAACAATCTTCGAACAGGGCTGGATAAAGAAGGCGGAACGACTTAGGATTTTGGCCCCTCTTCTCGAGGACTCAGCTAATCCTGTATTAACAAGGATGTTGGCTCCGGCGCCATATTAAGTGCCGGCGAAGGAGGACAAGGAGGAGAGCAAGAAGGCCAAATATGTCCTCCATCCTAAAGATACACTAGACACTATGTCCGTGGAGATTGGAACTCCCTCTTCCGAAGACAAAAGAGAAGGAGAAGCTGACATCTCTTCCCCCCATGGGAAGAAGAGGACCGCCTCCAAAGATTTGGAGGTAAAGGCTCCTAAGCGAGGAAGGATGTCCTTGTCAGGCAGTTCGGGTTCGGAAGACGACGTTGTCGCGCAATTCCCCCGTAAGGACAAGCCCTTAGCCGAATCGTAAGTGAACAAGGGTGTCCTGAACATATCCCGTTCCTTTCCGCTTACAAGGATAACATCTAAAATATATGTTTGCAGTCTGGCACATAGTCTTCCTCAACAGTCCTCCTCCTCGGGGGATCTTCTTCCAGAGATGATGGAAAGCGAGACGCCTCCACATACCTTCTCGCCCAATAGGGCGGATGACTTTGAGGTGTCGTTCCGGAGGATTCCTCTCAATCAACAAGTGGTGCGAGGGACAATGAAGACCAGCCTGAACGTGATACTTCAGTAGTCCAGGGTTTAGGGCGTGGGGCCCCTTCGGGGACCAACAATAAAGCCCCCAGACTATCCGGTTTACAGCCGGAGACGACTCTAGGGTTGAGTAAACATATCCCTTTGAAGGGAGTCGGTACTCCCATCGCCGCTTCAAGGAATCGGAAGGCGCCGGATACATTGATGGACATGTTGCGACATGCGTCCATCTCAGAGGAACATCGTACCTTAATGGGTA